CATCGTAACCATATCCAACTTCTTCCGATACTCTCGCGAACTCGAGAGAACGCGTAGAGTGCTCTCATGTGCTTGTTCGTCTCTGCGAGATAGATTCCAAGTGTTCTTACGGGGACGGCTACATATGTGTGTGTGTGAGTGATATTGTGGTGGAGCTTAAACGGAAAAATAAGTTTCCATTTTCACAATTCTTCCACGGGGATAGATACGATTGCCCTTGAATTCTACCGTGATGCCGGCGTTTTCCGGCGGAAGGAAGAAAACAATAAACATTGCTAAAAGCTATCGTATACAATTTCTCGTTTAATTAGCTCCTTTTAATCAACTTTGCTCGTCCTTAGCGATTGATTTGCATGGTATACTGTTGATAAAATTTCGCGCGTTTGTGCGACGGGATTTTTTTGGGATCAGAATTGATGGGTGGTGTTTGCGGTGGGTATTAAAACGCCCTATTAATACGAGCCTCACGCATCGGCTGTTGGTCATCGACACGCAGCCGGCGGTGACGTTCGGCCCTTTAATTATCGCCGATAAATCATCGTGCCATATCGTCCCCTTCCGCTTGGTTAGCCTTAGCTTTATTCTTTTGCCTTGGTAAACAAATAGCCTAACTGAAAAAGTTTTCTTTGTCTCCCTTCGCGGCGCCGCTGCGCCGGCTATCGGCTTTTCGACGCACAAGTACTTTCCGTATTTGTTCTGAGCGTGATGAAAGCGCTGAAATATCAATAATAACATACGATAATAAGTACGATTTTTGTTATCTATTTATACTGTTTCTGTATATTTGGTGCAAAATGAGGCTTCCATTAAAGAACGACTTCCCTTTCGAAGCCACGAAGAAAAAGTAACGCCGATTGCCAACGAGAAGACCATTTCAGCACGTATTATCTCACGCTGATTCACCCTGACGTTCAGCCGTTACGCTGTTTGGAAAAGAAACGCGACGGGCGTTTCAACCCTACCGATCCACCCCCCGTCCGTTTTTCGCGCGCGTTTCCTGCGAGTGCGTATTTATTCGTGCGTGCGCGGCCCGACGCCGCCGGGCGGGTGCGTATTGTTGCGAAATTATCGGCATTGTCATGCGCGACTCGATTTATTTTGTCTATTCGACGGAAAAGTGCTTTCATTTGGCCCTGCCCCGGCGGGAGGGTAGAAGAGCATGTCAAAACCGTGGAGAAGGAGAAACGGAGTGTCGTGGAACAAACAGAGACGCGCGAACGAGCGCGCGTTGCTCGGCCCCAGGCGTTCTCTCGCGACAAAAGCTCTTAATTCGACAATGCGTCCGTCGAAAGGGGACAATAGTCGACTTTCGGTAAATAATGATTCCTTCGATCCTCTCCACATCAGTCTTCCAGACCTGCGCCTCCGCAAATGCTGTTCTATGTTGAGACACTGAACGATGATTTCATGCAACCGTGTAAAAATGACACGAATGTGCGCATGTGTGTTGGTCCACAATAAGGATTTTAAGCCCTAAGTAGTAAGAAACAGACCAATTATAGTCGAATATGAGGAGAATAATTGATTGCAATTGGTCAATATCTTACGGTGTAAGCCTTATTGCGGACCGACACAACGAGCAAGAGACATGGATCATTGGCTACGTGTTAGACCGAATTGCGATCTTTAGATGATAAGCATTCGAGTTGCGATTCCTAGCTGTGTATTGCGGTTTCTGAGATTTCGCCGAATCCCCGAGGTAATTAAGGAGGGGAAAATTAGGAATTTCTTTTTGCTAAGATTGCGCGGCGGTCGGGAAACGTGATTCGGCCGAGCGAGTGAGCGAGCGGGCGGACGGACGACAAGAAGAATTCGAAATCGGATTAGCGAGAGCGATGGGACGCTCGATTTCGTTCCCGCCTGTTTCGACGCTTTCATTTTTTCGCTCCCTCCGGGAGCGTCGGCCAGATATTTGCATTACAAATACACCTTCACCGGGGTTTTTCTCGTTTCATTAAATTCGCTTTTTCCTCGAGACGTACCGCTTCCTCTCCGCCGCGGCCTGTCTTTCCGCCGCTCATGAATGTACTCCCGCATTCATCCCCGTTCTAGCGCGAAAGGGTTGTATTAAGAATTTTAATACCGCGGGAAAAAGTTTGTCACCACTGAAACACTATGGAAATCGTTTGTTCCGCGGACGTGCGCCGAAATAAGATATCATAGCGTTAATTATTAGTCGACGAGTGTCCCTCGGAAAGTTTCTCTTGCGATCATTTCAGCTTGTTAATGATCGCTTCGCTGGAAAACTGTCGGCTACACGATGGTAATTATTTTTAATTTCAAGAAAACGAATAAATTATCTTCTAAATCATGAAATAAATATTAATATTAATAAATATTAATATTAATTAATATTAATATTTAATTAATATTAATATTAACAATCTTTTATATGTAACAGATTACATATAAAATTCCCAACAAAAATAATGTTTAAAATTCGAACAGCTTTCGAATTTCTAGAGCGTCAGAGCTAATTATATACTCAATAAAAAAAAACAATTTATGTAATTTATCGTTATAATAAGATATGTAATATAATATTATAATGATAATGTAATTTATCGTTATAATAAGGAAATTGTTTGATTTTCTCTGTCTTGATCTTCTCTCTCTGTTCTCCTTAAAAGATAACATCTTTCTTTTTTAATTTATTAGTTAGGAAAAGAACCAACATATTTTTAGTGCTAATCTTATCACATAATCTTCCGGAATCGTCCGATTGTGCTTCGATACGTTACGATTCCCACGCCGGATTTCCCGTCTCAATGACGGATGTTTACTCGCCGCAAATCTTTATTTCTCGAGTTCAATCCGGGTACGATAATCGCCGTACGTGCCGCGCGATCAGATGCTCCGATCAGAAACGGTTACGCGGATTTGTTCGTTACATCGACGTCCTGGTATAGTTATATCCTGACGAAATTGAGATACGACGATCGGTCGGCTCTCCCTCGCGACCGGCGTGCAACGCTAACGTGAATTATGGAGTTCGCGTGCCGCGCGATACGCAGTCGGCAGTCGAAAGATACGAACGCCGTCATTTTTTTTTTTTGCGTGAGATATTTACGTGGGAACACGGTCTTCACGAACCCTCTGCGCTATCGGATCGGTATGCTTTACGGGCGTACACGCGGCACGGTCGATGATCTACGGCCGTGCTAGATGGAGACGCCTCTCGAAAGGTCACGAGATCACTGGATCGATATTTTCTTAATGCCGCAGTATTGTTGTAAGAGAGAAGGTATTTTAGATCAGTTGAATCATTATTTATCCAGGAATTCTTTAATTAAATTAAAGTTGATTATTTTAACAAAAATATCGAAGAACTATCTGGAGTTAAAAAACTATGTCGAGAACTAGGCTAAAAGCGCGGCAAACACAGTAATAACATTTTATTCTTGATTAAATCAACTAGACTCCCTTTTTCTCTCCTTTTCTTGAAAAGGCTTGTAATATCTGAGAACTGGTTACAAAGTATTTGAATTGAAAATCGAAAGACAACAGATGATAATTTTTCAATTCTTTATTTTCTTTTAGGAAAACTGGATTTTGAATTAACTTTTGAAACCATATGAAACCGTATGAGAAAAGCGAAAGATGAATTGTTAAGTTTTTAGGATTTATATAATGACAACGAAAACGCGTCATATCCCTATTGTTTTGCTCGTATAACGCGTCTCGAAAGTTCACAGCTGACAAAAAAAATGTTACAAGTCCGAGTTCTTATATAAAGATCTCGGTATCTACATCTAGTCTGCAACGTTGTCTTAATTAAAGTTGGCTGACTTCAGGCTTGTTGCGTCTTTCGCGCCACTCGTCAGGCTCGTCCCCAGGGGTGCAATTTACTCGCATCTCCTCCTTTCATCCCTTCACTCAATTCCACGAAGCAGCCGGTTTTAACTTGTCGTGTCTGCATCCATACCATCTACCGGAGCCTTCTTAAATACTCGGCGACGAGCTGCCATCCTTATTTTACATCGTCTAACGCTGATCGGCTTATTAATTTATGCAAGAGAGGTTTTAATGAGGAAAAAAAAAGTTATTAACTTTCGTCTGATAATCGCCCCCTTATCCGTCATCAACTCTCCCTTTTGCGCGTCGCTGTTTTACATAGAAATAACAAATATGTATATTAATGCGATGTCACGTTTTCCTGATTTATTGACGCAGAAAGCGAACGCGTTTTTTTTTTACTATGAATTTAATATGTTTTCTTGATTCTATCATGCCGTTATCTCTGTTATGAAAAAAATATGAGATCGCACGGGAGAGTATTACTTTATACATATCAGGAAATGACAAAGCATAACCGAACACGCATGCAGCAAATTGAAATTTCTTATAATACACAATCGCGCGAAATAAATTTATGCGCATGAATCAGGTAGTGGCAGATGTTTCACAAAATGAAATCAGTCAGAATAAAGTATCTCCTTTAAGGTGCGCAATCCCTTTGTAAATCGGTTAATTAAAAATCAGCGAATAATCTGAAATGCAATTAGAGAAGGTAAAGGGTAGCGATCGTGGGGTGGTAGGCATTGCCTTGAATGAGGATCACCCCGATTGTTTCCGAACATAATTCGGGACGGCCTTCTCTTTTTTGTACGATTATAAACCTGGGTATTCGCCGTAGTATCCTCTTTAAGGCATCCGCGCTGGTCAGAGATGGAGGTCCTTCTTGGTCTTTACCATGTAAAACAGTCCCTGCATCCCTTTGTCCGTCGGGCCATCGTCGAACGTTAAAGTTCTGACCAAACGAAATGACGGGCCGCTCGCGCCGTGCGCGGACAAGAGTTTCTTCGCGGCACACGATTCGTTCGATATTTATTTAGTAGGAAGGCGTACTTCACCCATGGGACCGTCTCAGATTTTCATGGCGCAAGAAATAGATTTCAACCTTCGTTTGCGTATCCGCAGACCGTCGCTGATTCTTCGTATGACGTGCGTTATGCAATAATATAACGTAAATTGCTGTTCTCTAAACTTGAAAATAATTTACCATAAAAACGCTCGTTTATTAAAACCATTTAGACATCGTAAATCATATATTGAAAGTTACGTAGTTCTTTTCCTTAACGATTAATCGACGATCACAAGTAAAATGAATGAAACTGATTTATTACGCAACTTATCCTTGATGTACTTTATTCTGATGTGTTTTATTGACTTCGAGACGTCAGGATACTATATCTGTAATTGTGCATCGAGACAGAGTTGCGCGCCCATCCTTTGCCCACGTCGACGTTATAAATGGGACGTTATGAACATGGTAGGTCGTTTCGTCGAGCGACGATGGTGCGGTCGCCCGACGGTGGGCGCGCAGGGAGCCCACCATTAGCCTGCAGGTGTTGGATATCCCAGCCACGCCATCACTCCCTCATTCCGGGCGATCATGCTCAAGATGATCCCCGGAACGACAGGCGGAAGTCTCGCCATCTCGCCGCGCGGGAACGGGACGCGGAGAGTGGTGTGCGCGCGCGAGAGAGAGTAAATAATCCTCTTCTGTATTATCCCCACGGGTTTCCTGGAAATCGCCGTTAATGCGTTCTACAAAATCGCCCCCGCGTCTCGGCGCCGCCGACGATCAGGTCCCCGCTTTGTTGTTTGCTAATTGTTGTTATCTTGACGATCTCGGCTCGCAGCTTGTTATCGATTAAATAGAATTGTCGGCCTCTGTTCGATGTACTGATATCGACACTCCAGTTACTCGATTGAAGGGAGGAATGCACGTTTCCTGCTGGTATTCCATTTAATTCAACAGTTACGAGGGGAAACAATCAATTGGCATGTGTCTTTGTGTTATGTGGTAGTATGGAAATTGAGAATGATCGAGCACGTTGGCCCAAAAAAGACGAATCATTATTCAGAAAAGGATATTTTGTAATCGCTCTGATAAACTCGCGTATATTGTACGCGAGAATCATACTGATTTGCTCGAACACCATTAATCCTGTATAATTAATGATGGGCGAAATCGCAGCGGTTCTCGTGGGAGTATCTTAACGCTGGCTGAAATATGGCGCTGCATCCATAATCCTTCCACGTACATTCTTCCATCCTGTAGTTACACTTATCCTCGTGAATGTGCTTGCGGCAGCGCTTCGGCCTGACCTGGCAGCCAAACTCGGACCATCGGCATTCCACCTGTTCGTCAGAATCCAATTCGGGCTGAGGCAAGGGATAATAATCGTCCACGTCTCCTTGATGGTGGCTCCTGTAGTTGCACTTCTGCTCGTGTATGTACTTCCGCCTCCTCGGCATGTTCACCATGCAGCCGTATCGCTGGAACTTGCACTGCACCAACTCCTCGGGATCGCCGCCGTAATCGCCGCCTGCGATCGACGTGGACGCGAGACTGTCGCTGATGTCGTCCACACTCTGGAACCTGTCCTTGTAGATGCAATACTGCTCGTGAATGCTACGCCTCCACGGCACCGTGCGTACCCTGCATCCCGCCGCAGCGTACGAGCAATCTACCAGATCGTCGTAGCCGTGGCGAAGATCGGTCGGCACGTGTTCCTCCTCCAAGTGCGGCCGAAACTGGCATCTGAAATTACATTATAATTTCAACATTGGCATTAATAAATTCACGCAATTCGTGTGCGATTGACAATTACAAATTGACGGCGACGGCGAGAATAAAGCCTTCGTTTTACCTCGACTCGTGAAGCACGCGCAGGTGCTCCGGTATCTTCACCCAACATCCTAGATGAGTATACGTGCAGGATTTGAGATACTGATTTTCAGACGGCATGGGCGATCCCCAGGCCCTCCTCTCGTGGTTCAGGAAGTCCATCGGCGGCGCGCTGGGATTGTGATCGTCGTGGCGGCGCGACGGCAGGGGATGCGGCATCAAGTATGCCGGCTGCGGTGCGTCCATCTGCGGCGGCAGGATCTCCACGTCCAACGGCGCCGCGCACGTGGGACAGGCGTAGTAATAAGGTTTGCAACGGTGGCACACGGTGTGGCCGTTGATGCACGAGTATCTGGGCGTCAATTCCATCTCCATGAGGCAGATGGGACAGAGGCCCTCGGTCTTGAAGCGCTCGTAGAGATTCGGATACAGGGTGTCCATGACCTATCGACAAGAGCGGTTATTTAGTGCCCACGGTCCACTTTGGTTGTCCTTCTTATCCGGTCTTTTCGGACCGAGATTGAGACGAATCTACTTCAGCGGAGTACAAGCGAAGCCAAAGGAAAGCCCGGCCCGCTCGCTCTGCTCTCCTACCGCGGGGAGATGAAGAGAAATTACTCCGTGCTCTCTTGCTCGCGCAGGAGCGCGCGGTCCAAGTTGCTCTTTTGCTATGAAGATTTATGTGCAATTCAATATAGAATAATGGAGGACTTGAGAAGAGGCGAACGAGGGTTACGGCTAAAGTGCAAACAGGATTAGAACGAATGCGCGGCGCGAGCGGATGCCCGTTCAAATCGAGATACGAGATCTCTGATTATTTGATCAAGTGCGTTTTGAATTTTGCACCTGATAACGATCGCGAGGAAAACACTGCCGGTTCTCCGCCATTTGACTGACGTTCGCGCACACGTACGGCGATATATTTTTATCGCGACTTGATAATCTTTGTAAAAGTTCATTTCAAATATCTAATAAGTTCTTTAAAACAAATCTTAAAATTAGATTTAATTTACTTTTTTCATTTATTACTATCGTACGTATTTTTGTATATCATATGCCAATATTTTCACTACATATATTCAACGAATTTTCTTCGATCGTTGGATTATTATCCGAATAATACGGAGATACTACTTACTTTATTTAACTGTCTTCCACTCGAGACGGAAATAGAAGCAAGAATTACACGTGCGATGGGGAACGAGAAAAAAAATAGCCAGAGCGACACGTACACTTCCGAAAGCACCGGGCACCGTGTGTCATCGTCAGCCTGTCACCGTTCCCTTATCTGCCGAGACCGATAGCGCGACTTTATCTAAAACGTTTCGCTCATGATAAAGAACTGTTTCCATCGTTTTGCTACGCCAGATAAAACGCTCGCGCCCAGACGGGACAGTACACAGACAGGAAAAGAAAATAAAAGTGCTCGCTCTCGTTGCTATGCACTTCGCATCACCGAAATGGTTACCGCCGCCCGGTATTTATTATGCTCGTTACATATGCGGATAAAAAATTTGGAATATAAGGCCGGCGTGCTTTTTCGCCGGCGGGTCGTTTTGCTCGCCGCCGTGCTTGGAATTAATTAACGATTATTCATACGGTCTCCGTGATATTGCGGAGCGAGACGTCGTCGCAGAGATTCCTCACGATTTCTCTTTGCGCACGAATTCCTCGAGCAAATCAGAATTGATATTTTTCTCCTCCCTGAGAGAGAAACTTCTCGCGCGCCGGAGAAAAATCGACTTCAAATTATTCCACTGACTCAGTGGGCGAAATAAAAAACGCGGAAAAAATTCGAGACACCTCATATGCATACGTTTGAGATGAAAAATCGCGCTTCCGTGTCTCTGCCAGACGAGTCAACGCACGGCCCCCCTCCCTGTTTCGAATAGCATCACGTAAGCGTTAATTGATGACAGCTAATTACATTTGAAAAATCGCGTAACACGCGCGAACGTAATTATGATTGCGTCGCACATACACACGGGCGCATGTCGCGTATCGTATTACATCCACTTCGGCCATATATAATCTCCAAATTAAATCTACGATCGGGTGTCACGTTGTTGTATATCACTGCGAAAATTTCTGCTGGCCTTCGCGTTATTTAATCTTGAGCACGGTGAACCTGAAAGCGTTATCTACGCGACAGTAATATAACTTGCAATGGTGAAATTTTCAGCAGGATACGGGGAAACCATACCAGCAGTAGTATGGAAATGGATTTTCTCCATTTAATGAATATAATTTCGATGGCTAATCGAATGCCGCAACCACTCTATTAGGGAAGTATTGTCGAGTTAATTAATCGAACGGTTAACGTAACGTCGAAATTCGATCATTATCGCCGGCGAGGATATACATTTAGTTACAATAATGTCGCGGCTAATGAATTTTTAATCGCTTCATTTTTTATTGAATTATATTCCAACGCTTCATTTTTATTGGATTATCATCTTGTTAGTTAGAATCGCGATTTCAGATAGAAATAAAAGAGCGTGACAACATTTTTTAAAACCTTCATAAATGTTGCATATAGATTTTTTTTATTATTACGAAGATTTATAAGATCGTAATAATCGCAAATTATATATGTGACGATAAAAAATAAAAAAATAGCTAAAAAATGCTAGAAAACAGGGCGATCGCTCGGTCCTTCGCAAACATCACGCGCGAATATTCGCGAATAACGAAACCAGATACTTTCGCGTGATATTCCACACCAAGTCCCGTAACGACCGTCCCTCATTTGAATCCCCCCGCGTACGTCGCATCAAAGATACGACTGAACGACCCCGCCTGCCACGAGGGTAATACTCGCTGACCATAAGTCACTTATGTAAATCTGCGAGATGGAAACACGCGTCGGGCGACAGTGACGGCGTGGTGACTACGAGGAAATTGAATGTAACATTCAACGTTTAACTATGACTTTTCAATTATTATAGTTATTTACAAGTTGTATGCAGTTAGTTTAGAATTCACAAGCTTCTGCACTCTGTCTTCATAATATTCAAAGAATTATTGCATGGCAGACAAAAGGTAAAGACCGTTGAAAACGTAATCATATTTTTTGGCCATTTTTTTTTAGGTTCTTCAACTCACATTTCTTCATAGATTAATACAGTAGCGTGCCGCGAAGATCTGAGGGAACTGTTTAATAAATTTTTCTTACGCCTCTCGATTCACCCTCTGTTAACCGTGAAAGGGAGAGTAGAAAGTATTCTGGAGTACAGATATGGTACCGAGAAATGGGACGAAATAAGCCCGCGACGGCAGCTCGGTATTCAGGCACCCCGAACCTTCCCAAGACGTCAATTTACTCTTATTGCCTTTCTCGGTATAGCGATATTGCGCCATCAAATTTTTCCGGAAAATCTCCGTCGGTGATATTCGCGCGATTTTTTTCGGCCACCGCGTCGCGAATGGTTTTGCGTATGGTCGCCGTGTACACAGGGCAACACGCGATTATTTATGACGCAGCCAACTTCGAGGTAGCTCGTTACGTCGGTGAAAAGCACTATCGTCATCTAGGACAAAGTAGAGCTAAATGTCAGGGCCAATCTTGCGGTTTTTCGATTCATTTTTTGGCTCTCGTTAATTCTTTGAGGGTATATATTAATGTTACATTAATATATGCGTTTTATGTGCAATACATAAATTATAAAATTATAAATATGTTAATAATTATTAATATTAACATCTTAATATCTGCATCTAAAGCTGCAGTAATTACGCCGATCCCTGCTGCGCCGCAATAGTCGTTTCCTAAAACTGCTGATTTATCTTACGTATATCCTCCTTGGCGCCAACATCAGAGCTATCCGCACATTAGCCTCCTAATCTCCAATCGCCCCGAAAAGGCCGTGCGGCGAATTTTAGCGAGCAGTAAAGCATCATCCCTGATCAATAAAGGAGGCGAGCGGCAGCTTCGTTGTGCAGCTTAATCTCGCGACTGGCTTTGTGATTGATTCGAGCATATTTCCAGCTTACGCGCAGGCAGAGCATGATCGATCTCACTCGAAATCCCATCAGCGATACAGCCGCAATTTGACCTGGTTAGCTTTTTACACGAGGAAATGATCAAACTCTCTCTCTCTCTCTTTTAAGGTAGTAACAAGGAATTGGAAAATATAAATTGCTCTCCAATTGAATCAAATGCATACGTCGGCGAATATCTCTCGACGGCTGATCTCGCGCTCTCTTCAGCGTCAAATTGAACTTTTCAATATCCAATAACTTATCCACCTTCGTGGAGCACAAAGCAATGCGCAATCAGTCAGTCGAAACAGATCCCCTTGCTTATAAACACCGCTTTTTCTTCCCGAATATCCGACTACGTCCGCAAGGGCGGATTCGAATCGTGCAATATGTCGCATAATTCGACCATTCCTCATACCACCTTTACGCGAGGTTCGAAGGGAACCAGACTTCAGCGTATAAGGCACACGCGTGTATCGCTTGTAGTTTCATAAATACACGTGGAATACGCAGCCCGCCCTCGGCGGGTAGTCAAAGCGAAGTCACGGAATGTAAAATCGATTCGGCAGGTATCAGGATCTTGTTGTTTGACGAGAGGGTATAGACGCTTCTCTCGGAATTGATGGATGTTTCCGTCACGCTGCCATATATTACTTTCAGAAAAAAAAATCGACCGGGGAATCTCACAACATTTATTTTCCACCGCAAACGATTATTAATAATATTTGACGTGTGTTTGCGCATTTTTATATTCGTAAAAGAGAACGCGCGGCGGCGGAAATTTTTCTCTGTTGAAAGTCACAGTCGCGAACCCCTTTGCAGGAAATTAAGCGTTTTCCTCGCGCTGCCGTTTTGTAGCATTCTTCGGGAAGCAGTTGAAAGCTCGACCTGCTTTCTCTCAGTGCACGGCAATCTCGCGCCTTACAAAGGAAACTTTTGTATTCACGAGTATGATAATGTCCCTCCATAAGCTCTCTCTTCGCACCTGTGCATTCAGTCGCGCGTGTTTGCGTCACGAGCTTGTAAACGGGTGGATAGACCTACGCGAGTATATACCTATGTACCTGAGGGATGCGATGCTTCGAAAACGCCACCATCGCGCCGGTAGGCAAGCTGGTTTCGGGATCGCGCGAATATCCTGGAATAATTTTACATATTTCAGCGCGGCTCGCTGCGAGCGACAAAGAGGCTTACCTGTTGTCTATGCCGAGAGACCTCGGCGAGGAGCATCGCGACGTATGCAAAGCGCTTTTACCGAGCACTCCGATAAGATTTATACGTGTGTTTGGCCTGATATCAACCGGCTTATCTATTATCTGTCCGTGTTGCGTCTTGACAATGTGGTAAGCGGCACCCACCCGATGCCGTTCGCGCTCCAGGCGCCGCATCTGTTCTTGTCAAGCTTGTCAGTCTGACAAATCGATTATACACTTTATTTGAGACGTCTTGTAGCGACATAACGCACACCGCTTCAGATTCCATATTAATGTTTTCGCTTTTAATTCGTTGGCAAACATTACAAAATTGTTGATGAAATTAAAAGTGTACAGTTAATGTGAAAAAAAGAAGTTTTTGATCAGAATATAGATTTGTAAGATGAATAGAGCTAAAGACCATAATGTTGACGATAGCACCGAGAATACTGACATTCCAATATTTTTTGTAAAGAAAAGAGTCTGTCGCAAAGAAGAAAATTAACAGAAAATTCCACCAATCGATAAGATTGACGAACCAAAGATGTGTAAGCCGCTTCTAGTGTCGCAGAGCTGCGGCTTGGCGCCACATTTCAAAAGCCAAGGGCGAAGCCTCGCCAGCAGAGAGCTCCGTTGTCGGGGGCGCGAAGTCGGGGATGCAATCGATTGCGATATATCGCAAGCACCCTCGGCGCCGGGGAGGGTGGCGGCGCTTGCGCCCCGGTGAGCTCGCGCGGATTGGCCGGCGATGATGTCATCACGGTGCTCCCCTAGGTCTCTGATATCATCTGCGGGCTTTTCTGCAGTCCACACCGACCACTCGAGCGGCGTAGCCGCGCCATCGGAGATATTGCCACCTGTGCTTGACATTCACGCAGTGCCATCCGGTCTCAGCGCCGGCCGCGAGCAGCCGAGTCCCGAAGCCGTCCCTTGGCCGCGGATCCAAAGCCGGCGGAGAGGTGAGTCCATTTCAGCTACCCTACCGGGATCGTGCCCGCTCTGTGTATTCCCGGAGCCGACCGAGCTAACGACGCGACGTTTCGTCACCGCACGTACACACGTCGACCCGTCGGTGTAAACATACGTTCGCCTTCCGTGTCTCCGACGGTATTAACGTTTAACTGACGATAGTCCAATCTCGAACTTCACGCAGGAACTCGAATTGTGAACCAGCTGTGAGATGCTGGCAGTAGTGGCAGTTTCGATCGCGTCACGTAAAGTGATATTTTTTTTTATTTCTTCCCGGTCGTGTGGTCGGGAAAGGACCTTACAGATTTCTCTGAGACGATTATATGTGCTTTTCCGACAGCTACGACGCTATAGCTTCTCCAGCGAAAGCTGCACTCGTGAACACGTGGGATGGTGGCAGTCGTGTCAGGATATACCTTTTATTTTATTTTTTTTCCAAGAAATTTGCTTCGGCGTGAAATCGTTTTAAACATTCTTTCTGCAACGAAGGAAACCATATTAATTCACTTCGTTGACAAGCTACGTAGTTCGATAATCTTTAAATAGTGCATTGGTGTCGAGACATTGCTAATTGTATTCTTTTTCTTTATAAATTGATTTATAACTTTTTCTTAAACACGACAGAAACATTGATTTTATATACATGTAAAATAATCAATAATAAACAATAATACATCGTTTGTTAATCTCGTGAGTAAAATCGCCGATTTGCACTGTCACAAAATTTGCCTCATTTGCTCCAATTTTACATTGCCAAAAATGTGCGCTGACCCTAGATGGGACAATCCTTTTTCTCGAAAACATTGTTAACCACTGGTAAAACAGCGTACGCGAATGAATGTTGAGCAAACTCGGATCTCAAGGGGATAATTGCGTTGGCGTGTCAGCACAATGCATCCCAGAGCGCTAGCTGCGTTTCACCGAAGCGCCAATAGGATGTATGTACGCGAGTTTGTATGAATATATAGGACAACGATCCAGAGAGTTCAACTTTCTCAGTTTTGTGCTCACACGAGCAACTTTGAAGCCTGTAGACTTTGCGAGATGTTGCACACGCTGGCAGGAAACTGCGGCGAGATATCGCGCTTATAGTTCTCAGTAAATACGTATATATACGTTGTATACATACATTATATATATATATATATATATATATATATATATATGTATATATATATATATGTGTACATATCACGGTATGTTGAACGAATTGCCGGTATTTTGTGCAAACACCATTTTGAAAGGATTTTCAAACTCTTGCTTTCTTTTCCTGCTCCTATATCGTGTTTAAAATTATTAATTAAATTTGATACACATGATGTAATACAAATATAGAATTGATTTCAATAACAAATTAATCGCAGTGTACAATAAATGTCTGCGTGGTTAGTCGAATATTTTTATTATCGGAGAGGAAAATAGGTTTTCTTAAAATACATTTTAATGAAGAGGAAAAAAATATTAAAAGGAAATAATTATTAAAAAATTAAATAATTTTAAATACAAATAGTGACATTTCTCTCTCTCTCTCTCTCTCTTTTTCTCTAACAATAACATATTATAACTGATATAAATAACGTTTACATATTGCAACTGACATAAATAATGTTTACGTATAATTCAGATAATTAAATATTACCTGCATTATTAACTAAAAAGGAAAATACATTTTCATTTTAGAATGAAGTAATATATTTGTGCAAACATTTTATAATTTCTTTTTTACAATGAATAATTTAATGTCGGACTTTTTGATCGTTATTTATCATAAACTATAATTGTGTCTTGGATGGTAAAAAACTTTGACAAATACTGTTGACTATTTTTCAACTGCAATATGTATAAATGTTGAAAAATATGGAAATATTAAAGCTAGTTCTGACTGCTGTAGCCAGGGAGAAAGACATGAAGGACGACGAAAAAGAGAGAGAAACGGACATCATATAAATTGCCTACAGAAACACATAATGAATTCTGTTAGTATGCACGTTTGTTTGAGCGTACCGATTGTGTCATACAAAACTTTCTGTATTTGGATTGAAGTTGCTTAAACTCAACTACTGGGATATTCCATTTCGCAAGCAATGAAACTCTGATCCCTTGTATCAAATGATAGATTCGTGTTTGCAAACCGCTCATCTGATTCGAAACTGAAACGTGTCAAATTAAAAAGTCTTGTTCTTCGTTTATTCTCAATTTTACGTTCGCAACGTGTATAAGATACGCATATCGAATAATTAATTTCTCTCATGCAACGTATAACGTCTCAGTAATTGAGACGTTATTATCTTCGCATGAATAGTTGATAAATAATTAGGTAATTCGGTCACACGTGTAGACACAGAGAATACACCGTTCATTTCTTAGCAAAACCGCGAAAGTTCGGAGGAGCGAAATAGCATTACATATATTTTCCATGCAATAGCGCCAACTACCGACTCCTCTTTGTGTCGGCAAACATAATCTGTTTACGTGTTTTCGAGTAGAGTTGTCTCTAACAATAAACACAATTTCTCTTTCGGAGAAACTTACGCGATTGTTGTTGCGAAAGCGAGATGACACGAAATCTGCGAATTGTCGCTATTATTATTTTAACTTTCCGTGATGTTTTTAAAGTGATGAACGGTCATCTTTATGCAAATTTAATTATTATGCAAATAAAACATCACTTTATTTTTTACATTATTCGGTGCAAGAATCTTAATCGATGTATAATGACATTAAACCGAGTGAAAGGAATTTTAAGACGTTGTTGAAAGCGCGCTTTTCACATAGCATCGCAAACACTATAGCGTACAATTACGTGTATCGTAAATTCCGATATTGAAAGTTCCATTTATAACATGGCGGACCTTAAATACGATCGCCGTCGATTTAAGCGTCATAAAATATTTAAGACTGGAATACCATGACGTGATTGATCGGTTGTCCTTCTCAGATTTTTTATTACTTTAAAATTGATTTTTCGTCAAAAAAATTGCAAGGTATTTATAATTTAATTGGGAGTAAATAGCTTCTGACAAATTCAACTTCAGAAGAGAAGAGTTACGCGACACAATTTATATCATTGCGTTAGTACTTTTCAATATGTTGATTTTTGAAACTTTATTCCTCTTTCCGCAGATTTTTTATCACTTTGTATTTGATTTTTTATCAAAGAAAATTACGAGTATTTATCATAAACTATATAATATACGAAGTATTTATAATTTAACTGATAAAAATAAGTAACTTCTGACAAATAAAATTTTCGAAGAGAAGAGACGATATAATTTATATTGCCGTGAATATTTTTAAATACTTCGATTTTTAAAGCTTTACATTCTAAGGATGAGTCATTGTCGCCTCGTATTTTCGCCGAAGAAAAATTGTTCGTGCATTGACTAAAAATGCTGCGGCTAAAAAGACACCCGATGATCTTGGAATACACTGTGCATGTCGGACCCTTTAGGCATCGACGATGAAGGCTGGCATCATGGGAATAGCACGATCTTCGGCTAGCCTAGTGCCGGGACATATTTATAGCGATGTGCGTGGGGTGCGCGTTCGGGAAAGGCGACGGAACGGCGAGAAAGAATATACGCACGACACACGTACTTACACACACGGATATACGCGGGCGTGTAAACGCGAATAACGTTACAGTCAACTCTCACCCTTGGCACGCGGAAGCGCCCTTGTTGCATTTCGGGAATGCCACTCTCCCCCCCCTCCCTCCACTCCTTCGCTGGCGTTTCGTTTTAACTTGTGCCTTCCTTTTGTGCACGATGCCTCCTCTCAGCGGCGCCCGCTTTTGCGGCTTGCTGCCGGTCCCCTTCCCTAAATTCATTCGCGAACTTTTGAGCGCTCGAGCGTTAAAAAAATTCGTAGTGCCTCTCGAAAACTGCGTTGCTCTCCTCCTTTTTTCCACGTTGTTGTCTGTAATCGGGTAGGCGGGTTAAAAGGGTTCGTATTCACCCACGGGATACGCCTCGTGTGTCTCGATGCGATATAGAACTCGCAGTTCTTATTAGAATATTTTCGGCGATGTAGCGATACAACGAGTGCTGTAAAATTATTTTTGACGACGCCAATGAATGGAGAGCTGTCATCCCTTCGAGACTTTCGGGTATATATATATTTTACGTGCAACGAGAAGATATATTGAAAGAGAGATGTCTTCAGTTCTCTCTCTCTCTCTCTCATTTCGAAAACTACTTTTCACATATCATCACTTCCCTATTTCGTGCTTATCTTCGCCAAACATTGGTTGATCCATTGGAGAATAAGAATAAGGATCAAGATAAGAAATAATTGCGTCCTTAAGACGACAAATGCGGGACAAGGTAGGTGGTCTTAAGCGGTATCTCTTAATAATGACCCATATGACGAGGCAAGTATGGACGAAAGGGATAGAGTCAGGAGCAAAGGGACAGAGCGAAAGAGAAAATGAATTGGAAGGCGAAAGGGATTGCGATGTAGGCGAGTCTTTGTAGCCAATCAGAAACGCAAACATCGGGGCGCCAAGGGTAAGGAATTTTTTTTCCTCGTTGTCGTTCCGATTATCAAAGTCGTTCTGGCACCCTCCCCCGCCCGTTGTACCCCTGTCCTCCTCCCGATCCTCCCCGCTTCCGACAATCCCGCAGTGCGGAGAGTTGCTCGGGAACTTCGGAGATTCGTCAAATCTTTTATACGTACGACGTGACTCGAGTTGGCGCGACTCCAAACTTGCCCCAGCAGCGGCTTGCCGATCTCTCTCTTAGTTTCCGGATATGAACGACGGGGGGAAAGGGAGGGGGAATAAAAATAGTCGAGTTCATTAATTCGAATTCATGAAAGCTCGTTCGCGCGATATTAATCGAAATACGAAAACTCGTGCGCCTTGATTGTAAACAACATTTCTCAAACGTATAATCTCAAACGCTTCAATACTTTTGCCATTTCGACGCATTTTCGTTTTATGTATTCTAATAGATTTCTGTAATAAAAGCGATCGCGCGCGCAATAAACG